AAAGGTAACCGAGAGACAAGTACAATAAACTAAATTTAAAAGATGGGCTGCGGGACACCTTTGTGAAAATTCAATTTTCCTTTTCAAAAAAATAATGTGTACAGCGACGTATTTCTCACTTATGCCATGTTCGTAAGTTGAAGAGAAGTATCGATTTTATTACAAATTTTTTTTGGCATAAGTGTCGCAAGGGACCTAAAAATTGAAAACTTTGTAAGAAAATGTGAAAAACATCTTTATTTGTCTACCAATTTCTCATTAATGCCAATTAGAAATATGACATATTATATTCGAAAAGCTCATAAAAAACATTGGCATAAGTCCTACTATGAACTAAAGAAAATAGGGCGTTGGAAAAACATCAAATATTGTACACAAAACTCTTCAGGAGCCCGTAACAGAACAAACAACTTCTTCATCGATAAAATCAACAACACAAACGTTAAGTAACCTCCCTCGAACCGTCACTCCCAAAACTTATTAATCGATTTAAACAACTCGGCGTCTCAAGGATCCATTAACGACCTTACACACCGCAAATTTATTTAACTATGTATGCACATCTCCAGTGGAGGTCTCTTGAGGTGCGTCCTAATGGCAAAATTAAATTTAGCTGCTTAAAGTGACACGGGGTTACGTCTTGTGCTCCACGAATGTGCTCTTGACTGACAGCAGCAAGCTCAGAAATAAACCGACAAGAGAGTTAAATAGGAACTTGGGAAACAATAGTATTAGGAAAATAAAATACTTGTTTAAATAAATATTAAAGAAAAAAACTGGATGTGTTGGTCGTATCACATTTTAGAATTACCCTATACAGGGTAATTCATTAACAATAGGAAAATCGAAAGCTGAAAAACTACACGTGAAATGGTGACCATTGGCGCAAACATGCCTTATCCGAAAGTTTATAGTTTCGCAAATACAGGGTGTTGAAAGTTAAAATTTTAAATCGTTTTTTTGCGATTATTCTGAAAATATGTAGGTTAGGAACTTGAAAATTTGTGAAACTATATTTTTTAGGCGACGAATAAGATGCGTGTTGTAATTTCAGCATTGCCAATAGAGGGCGCCACTTACGACCAATTTTACCGAAAATTTAGTTAATAACTTTTTACCCTGTATGTCTAACTTGGAACTTGATTCAAAACCTGAAATAGCAATCATTTTTTCCATTAATTGTGTATTCTTGTTTCATTTCGGTATCCCGATCCGTTTTCGAGAAAAATCGATTTAACGAACGTTATGTTTTGATAATACGAGATATTAAAAGCGAAACAAACCAAGTTATTACAACAATTAACAATAAAACAAATTAAATTCGTAATAATGATTTAAAGTCAGTGTTCGAAGAATCCACCACCGTTGATTTTACACATTTTACACAACGTTTTCTGAGAGATCTTCGAATTTGAAACAACATATTGGGATTGCGTTTGACTACGTTGGCAGCGATTTGTATTCTTTGCCACAACTCTTCACACGAACCAATAGATTCTTCCAAATAGAAAAATGAAGAGGATTGAAGTCCGGACTTCTGGGTGGCCAAGTAAAAATGCTTCCACGGCTTGAAGAAGTTCCACTTTATTTAAGAAGAGACATGTGGTTCATGCACGACGGAGCTCCACCGCATTTTTCTTGGCCAGTGCGTGCATATTTAGATGCAGTTTTTCCAAATCGCTGGATTGGCCATGTAAGCATTTTTGCTTGGCCATCCAGAAGTCCGGACTTCAATCCTCTTGATTTTTCTATTTGGTCTCGAATGAAAGATATAGTTTACAAAGAATCTATTGGCTCGTGTGAAGAGTTGTGGCAAAGAATACAAATCGCTGCCAACGAAGTCAGACGCAATCCCAATATGTTGTTTCAAACTCGAAGATCTCTCAGAAAACGTGTAAAGTGTATCAGTGTCAACGGTGGATTCTTCGAACAATTACTTTAAATCATAATTACGTATTTTATTTGTTTTATTGTTAATTGTTGTAATAACACGAAGAAACACTTGGTTTGTTTCGCTTTTAATTTCTCATATTATCAAAACATAGTGTTCGTTAAATCGATTTTTCTCGAAAACGGATCGAGATACCGAAATGAAACAAGAGTACATAATTAATGGAAAAATGATAGCTCTTTCAGGTTTTGAATCAAGTTTCATGTTAAATATACAGGGTAAAAAGTTATTAACTAAATTTTCGGTAAAATTGGTCGTAAGTGGCGCCCTCTATGAGCAATGCTGAAATTACAACACGCATCTTATTCGTCGCCTAAAAAAATATAGTTTCACAAATTTTCAAGTTCCTAACCTACATATTTTCAGAATAATCGCAAAAAAACGATTTAAAATTTTAACTTTCAACACCCTGTATTCCCGAAACTATCAACTTTCAGATATGGCATGTTCGCGCCAATGGTCACCATTTCATCTGTAGTAACTTCAGCCTTCGACTTTCCCATTGTTAATGAATCACCCTGTATATAAAGAATAATTCAGGTCAATTAAATTAATTTTTGTTATAAAACTTTATTAAATGAATTCATTATAAAACACATTTTTCATTTTAATTCCAAACTAATAACTGATAAAAAAAGGATCTAATATTGTTACGATTGTAGCGAAGTGAAAGGATAGGATAAAATTTATTAATTTAGGTAATGAAATTGGTAAATATTTCCCTTCGACCAACATTCCAAAAATGCGTTCTTTATTCGAGATCATCTACACGAGGCTACCCTTCTCCCGGGGCTGCTATAGTGACGGAAACAGAGTTGCCAGACCTTCGATACCCTTTTCAATAAATTCACAAGGCCTTCCATTAGAATCTATAGGATTATTGAAATAACTTTAAGTAAATCCCATGTTTCAGCCCTTATATTTATTAGATTACGAAGATTCAGGATGTATGTTCTATTTTCGTCTTATCCAAAAATATGTATTGATGGTATGTTGAATGTACTTTCAATCAATTTTAATTCCTAATACAATGTTATTTTTGCGTAGTAAATTCCTATAACAGCTTCTTTAATATTTGTAATACATTGTTTTGTTCGCGTTATGGTATGTATTACGATTGCCAGCCGATAAATGAGTTTCTAGGTATAGTAAGTACAGTCATTGAAGCTTTTCACCTCCGAATTCTTTGAAACTGAACCGATCGACTTGAAATTTGGCATAGTTAGAGAAAAGGTCAATGAACATTAGTGACATAGCACCGATTGACGCTTCCACCCAGGTGGGGGTTGACACACCTTCGCGGGGGTGGAAATTTTTTTTTTCAAAGATAACGCTGGAAATCGATAGAGAATCAAAATTTGAGCAATAAATATTCGAAGAATTTTTTCGAGAAATCAATAGTTTTTTGGTTATTCACGATTGAAAACTTGGAATGAAGTGAAAAAAAACACTTTTTCAAAGTATTTTTCACGAATAACTCAAAAACTACGCATTTTATTTAAAAAAGTGTAATGAACAAAAATGTAGCTTATAAATAAACAAAGAAAATCCTTTTGTAAAACGTGTTGTACGTCCTATACAAAGCGAAATATGGCTTATTTTAATGAGTTATAAACGCAGCAGAAGTTTGGAACCTTATTTTAGAAACACCCTGTATACAATGAACAGTCCACGAAATCATATTGACTTAAGAAATAAACCCCGTCAGTTTGTTACGAAAATGAGCCCGGCTTAAATGGAACATGACTAGACTACAATCGGGGCGCTTCCCATTTTTATAGATCTTTCAACTTTCCAGAATATCCTAGCCCCCTAGTTTACCATTCCGCACTTTGCTGAGTCAGATCCATCCGATATTGGCACTTAATATCGGTTATATTAGTTTGCCGAGCGGGATTATGCGCTTTTCTGTTTTGACGAAAGTTATATTAGTTTTTAAGCGGCTTGGGAAAACTCAACTCGATAATTATCCGTCAGCGAGGTGTTCGACGCCTTTTAAATTTTAATTTTAATAGTTTTCGCTTATAACGATCTTTTATATAAAAAACAACTCAAGATTGTAACGAGCAATTAAAATTATTTTTTTTACCAATCGACACCGGTCTCCCCTACACATAAAAACGCAAACATTTCTCTCCCTCCACCACGATCAAACATTTTCCTGTATCCCATCGAAAATATTTGGTGCTTACCTTGCGCCAAGAAACCGGCTTCTATAAGTTTAGCCTCCATAAGTAGCTTGGGGATGAGCAAACAAAACGATATGGCGATGTGGATGAAAGGGGCGGTAGGTCCCCCGTATCTAAATAGGCCGCACCCGCCACTCTTCAGGATCTCGGGAGACTCCTTGCTGCAGGTGCCCATCTGTCTGCCCAGTTTGTAGCCGTCGTTAGCCAGGTTGCCAATCTGAAAGAAGAAGATTGTAACTATTACATATGATAACTTTGATTTTTTGCTTGATTCGTGGTAGTTATTTGTTTAACTAGACAGTAAAGTACAAGAGTTAATACCGAGGCGCAGCCGAGTCCCTTAAAGCAGCCAAGGCATTGAATCTACTTTACTGCCAAGTTAAATACACAATTTTTTCGCCAATTAATTTTAATTTTATTATAATAGCAAACAAAGCTATCTATTTTATATTAATAAAATTGTACGATACTAACGGGTGATTCATTTAGAGGTACTATTTTCAACAACAAATTCTATTTTATGGTGCAATCTTTATTATTATACAAAAAACTATTTCTGACATTTATTTTTTAAATATTATTTCTTTCAAATGTTGTCCTCGACTGCGGTTGAGATGGTCCATTCTGAAGTTCCAATTTTCGATGACACGTTCGAGCATTTCGAGTGGAATTTGACGAATGACCCGAGTAATGTTGGCTTCCAATTCCTCAATCGTATTCGGCTTATCCATATAGACTTTGGACTTCACGTAGCCCCAAAGGAAAAAGTCTAGAGGTGTGATGTCACATGATCTAGGAGGCCAATTCACTGGTCCAAATCGTGAAATTAACTGTTCATCGAATTGTTCTCGCAATAAAGCCATGGTTGCACGGGCTGTATGGCAAGTGGCGCCGTCTTGTTGGAACCAAATGTCATCGAGATTACGGGCTTCAATTTCAGGCAGCAAATAGTCCGTTAGCATGGCGCGATAACGGGCGCCATTCACAGTTACGTTCCTGCCGGCCTCATTTTTTAAAAAATATGGACCGATGATTCCACCAGCCCATAAACCACACCAAACCGTTGTTTTGTCTGGACGTAATGGCAGCTCTTGAAGTTCTTCGGGTTGTTCTTCATCCCAATTACGGCAATTTTGTTTATTAACATAGCCATTAAGCCAGAAATGGGCCTCATCGCTGAACAAAATTTTGGTCGAAAACATTGGATCTTCTTCAAGCTGTTCAAGAGCCCAAAGACTGAAACGGTGACGATTTGGAAGGTCAGCCGGCTTCAATTCTTGAATGAGTTGAATTTTGTATGCTTTCAAACCAAGATCCTTACGTAAAATACGCCAAGTTGTTGCATACGACAAGCCAAGCTGTTGAGATCGGCGCCTAATTGATTCATTATGGTCATCACGTATACTCTCGACTACCGCCGCAATATTTTCTGCACTTCGTGCTGTATGCGGTCTATTTAGTCGTCGCGTATTATCCAATAATGAAAATTGGGTTTCAAACTTATCGACGGTGTAGCGAATTGTGCGTTCGGTGGGCCGATTATGTAGACTATATGTTGCTCTAAGAGCACGAAATACACTCCTGGCAGAACGCTGATTCTCGTAGTACAGCTGAATTATTTGTAGACGTTGTGCCGGGCTAAGTCTTTCCATGATGAAATGTCAGACAGTACTGAACCAAAATACCACGACAGTTCACTCGACTCATGCGTGATCTGTCTTAAACTCGCTACTGAAAAAAGTACCTCTAAATGAATCATCCGTTACTTTCAGGAATAATATTAATTTCATCAGGTCGTCTGTGGTTGCTATGAGACGAGCGTTATTAAGTAAATAACTTAGATACACAATAATCGCCATATTGTTCTTATTTAAATCGATAAAAATAATTATTTATTATTTGAGATGGAAGAATTCACATTAACTCCGCCAGAAATTATTGAATCAGGAAAGCAAATAGAGTGTAAGTTATTACTAGAAATATCGAAGAAGATACATCAGCAAACATATAAAAAATTTATTGATTACCGGGCTGAAAATAACATTATGTCTTTTTCAGAAAATGTACTATTGGTAGGTATATTTTTCTGAATTAAGCAAAAGTATAAAACCTTCTTCATTGATCAATATATGAGATGCTCAGAGCTACTTTGAATTCTACAACAACATCGATATTGGAAAGTATCTAAAATTAAAAGCATTCTTGAAAAGGCAATCGGATGGATATCGTGATAAAAAAATGAACAAATAAAAAAATTTCTACTGGAGGCGGGATTATTCGTATACGAGACAACGTCTAGGAAATGAGTTTTCTTTAGTGGGATTATCTGCAATGGTGTTGGCAGTCTTGAAATTAAATTTTATAGACCTGCAGAAGGTTTCTGATTTCGAGACGACTTTGGTGGTGAGTCGTTTCAGATCGCATAGAAAATACATTAAAATAGTTCGAAACAGTTAACAGTTGTTGTGGCAACGTTGATAGTGCACTGATATAACTTACTACGTTCATTCCGGGTGACTAGGTCTACGTCGTCCAAATTAAAGTAAAGTTTAAAAAGCTCAACTAATTATTTCATTAACAAAAAAAAGGTTTTCAGATTCATCTAACTCCCACATAAAATTACGCCTTTATACACTTACTGGCATCATATACAGTCATCTTAGAACTACCGCAGCATAGTGGAATTTTTGGTCTACATCAAAATATTACGATTGAGCCAAACATGCCTTAGTCAATAATTATTGCTCCTTCGTTCTACAGTGTTAAAGTTGAAAAAATAAAGGCCAGACGATACCAAGCCTGAATTAAGAATTAAGACCAACATTACAGCAATTGAAAGCAAGTCATTTTATGCCTTATTATGTGCATATTTTTGGACAAAAAACTTTAGATTCTGAAATTTCCTTCGAATCGTAGCGGTTTTTTTAAAATAGTTTCATAAATATCTACTTTTGTTAGGATTTAATAATAGGTTTAAAGGATTTTTGATAAATTCTCAAAGTGCTAGTTCACGAGAACCAAAAAATGCTACGATTGCATGAAATTTGTGAATCCTAGAGCAAAAATATGCGAGTTCGAATACGTGATTACGCATAAAATGATTTGCCATAATTTAGGGCTTGAATATCGAAATTTCCGCAATTCCCGCTTAAAGTACAGATGTTTACGAGTATATTAAAAATTTGCTACGATTGGATGAAAATTGTTTTGCAACAAGAATTTTGTCCATAAAATCCCAAAAATTCCCACTGTGCGCAGCGTGTTTTTTTTTATCATAGACAAGTTGGTCGAAACCGTTTTGTTTTAATCCCAAAGAGCGCGTGGTTGAGCAGTGTCCCAGCCTTCCTGGGACACCCTGTATTAGCAATCAACGGCAGCATCCGATGCGATAAGGCTCGCGAACAAAGCGTCGATGCAATTCCAGTACTCCGGCATCGCTATTCGTGCCGATTGTCCATTTGTGCAGGGACCGGTATATATCCCACCGGCCAGCAATGTGCAGTGATATGTGGGAAGAGAACTCGGCATGCAACTCGCGGGTCGCGTCCATCCTCAGGTATCGATCTGCTCGAATATAGACTTGGAAATCGGCGACTTGCGTAAGGATCTGTGTACGTGCATTGAGCGAAATTATCCATCGGGACAATGCGGGTAGAGCGACAAGATTCGAAGGCATTCCAAATTAATTCTGTAACTTATAATAATTTTCTGTGGTCTGAAATTCTTTCCTTGTAAGGACATCTTAGAATTGGAACCTTGAAACTTTTGAAGCTTATGTAAGAATCAGGGTAATATTATGATAAATAGTTTAATAATACTGTTAATTAATACACAACTTTTATAATTGATCCACCCAACCACCTCACCGTGCGTCTATCTCGATACATTGCAAGGTCAGAACTAACTTGAGATTAAAATATGCTACAACATTGTTTATAGTTAAGTCACGTAGGCATTGATCCATATACCAAATGCTAACACTTATCTCATCAAAGGTTTACAATAATAATTACTTATCTGAAACTCTTGTTTTGCGTGACGATGTCAGACTTTGCACCTTGAAATTTACTGAAGCTTGATAACCTATAAACTGCTAACATTTTCTATTTAAATTTATAATTTGTAAGGTTTGAACATTTTTTAAATGTTATTCCTTCAATGTTTTTAAAACATTATCTTCTGAAGTTGATAGTTGATATCGACAGTAGCTGAAGGCTAATTTGACGTACGTAATATCGCATCCATACAGAGTAATTCAGAACTAATCAAAAAATTCAGGATGTACAGGGGACTGTTACAAATTCTCTTGTAAAGAAAAAATCAAAAAAGACAGTTCGAAAATGACTTAAAAATACACTACTGCACGGCACTGGAAACTGGTCCACTGTAAAATCTGATGGCGGCAGTGATAAAAACGAACAAAAACTTAAAAGAATTTCGCAAGGAAAGGAATAAATAGAATTTTATAGCACCTATTTTATATCAGCAATTTAACTGATTTTGCCGCTATTAATAAAATTAATTTATGGTTTTAAATAATAAAATAATTTGACATACCTGATGCTACAACAACTGTTCAAAATTTTGTCCACCAAAGTGTATACACATTTGGGTCCGTTTTACTCAGTTTCTACTGTTACAATACCTTGATACAAATGTTTTCTTGCTTCACCAACAATTAAAATGATACCCATCAACTCCGATTTGCTATACACGCAAGCCATTTTTGACACTAACTACTAAAAAACTAGTGTAAACACTATTTCAACGACTGTAAAATCAGATTTCAGTATTCGGAGTCGCTGAGGCCACGTGGCTCTCCACGCGTATTACGAATGACGCTAGAGACTACAATTGTCCAGCTATGTAATGTTGAAAGTACTACAACTTCAATAATTTTTTCTAGGAATCTATAAGAATTTTACAAAAAAAATTTTTTACGATATTGATTCCATTTTTCATGCCGCATCTATTCCCAATTTTTTTTTGGATAAGGTGTGAATCACCCTGTATATCTGGAAGGGATGAATGCGATACTTGTGATTTATTAATTAATGCATTATATTTCTTGTAATATTCATTTTGGTGTGCATTGAATCATCAATGTAGCCTTCTGCGATGCTATTTGAACCCATCCACCATGACGTTTTAATGATGAAAGATCGACTTCTGTGTGCGCTAACACGGTTCCAGAGGATGTCGTTGGAATGCGTGTACAATTCTGGGTTTGCTAATTTAAAAAAAGATGCAATTTCTTGAGGCATTTTACTAAATTTGTTTACTCCTACTACTTGACGTGTACATTTGCCTTTCCGATAATTTAAAAAGGAATAAGTTGTTACAATTTGGTGAGACGTAAGCTAATATACAGGGTGTTTCGCATAAGAACCGACACAGAGCAGGAAACATGAAGGAAACCCAAAATATGATGATTTAGCGCAACTTATCTTTATACCCCTGGAAAGTTATAGGCCTTGAAAGTGAGATTTCAAATTTCGAAAGAAAAATCAATATTTCAGATGTACAGAACTTACAAAAAACATTTTGGAAAAATTTTGGATAGTGGCCGTAGAAAAAATATTCAAAAAAATAGTAAATACATAAATCCCTTCTTCTCAAGACTCAATCCGGGATTGTTTTTTATTACAAGCTTATTGCTTTTCTAGAAATGTAAAATTGAAAAATAACTGTGATAAAAAAAACCTTTATCGTTTTTGATTACAATAATTTTAGAATAATAGAATAATACGAGTCTTGTATTATAATCACGAGTTATTAAACTTACCTTTAAAATTGCCACAGCAAGAAAAAATGGCAAGAGTAGCAAAGCTGCCCCAGTGAGTCCCAAGCTGCAGTTTAGTTCCAAATATGGCAGACCCTCCGGCCACGTTAGTACAGAGTAACCTAAAAATAATAAATTTCTTTACAGACGTATATCAGAATTCAGGGAAAGTAAATGAATCGTTAATGACAGTTTCTTTAAATAAGCCACTTTTTATGTTTTTGACACTACATTAAGTTGCATATACGTGTCAAAAACATTTTCAGTGTCGACTTATTTACTCTTTTGCACACATTGTTTACTGAGTAGATTTTCATTCAATATAACAATTATATTTTTCAATCAAAGTAGCCTGATAAATAAAAATGATGGCTGCTGTAACAATAACTATTATTTGTGTCATTTTGACACTTAGTGTTAAAGTGCTAAATAGAAAATGCATTTATTTACAATTGAAGAGTATGCAAATATTGTCTTTGTCTTTGTATATGGCTTACAAGCCAGACAAGCAGCCCGAAAATACCGACGAAGATGCCGAAATAAACATCAACCTGCCCATACAGTCTTTAATGTATCATTTCGTAGACTTCGAGAAAAAGGTAACCCCGCTCCAAAAAAAGCCATTAATCCTACTGAAGTAAATGTACAAAAGGAAGAAGATATAATAGATGCTGTCATTGACAACTCTTCAATTAGCGTACAGCAAGTAATCTTCATTTATCACCGAATTTTGTATGGCGTGTATTGAATAAAAAAAAATTACATCCTGGAGATGCTCCTCAGCGATTAGAATTTTTTCGCTGGTTATTTCAACAACATGCACAAAATGATAGATTCAATTCGCTTATCATGTGGCCTGATAAAGCGTGTTTTATTAGGGTCGTCATAAATAATAATAATAATAATAATTAACATATCTGGGCGTTACAAAATCCGCATGCAATTAGATCAAGATGATTTCAGCAGTGCTTCAGTGTCAACGTTTGGGGTAGCATTTCCAACAATAATTTACTGCCTCTACATGTTTTAAATGATCGTTCAAATGCAGATCTGATAGAACTTTCTTGGAAAACAACCTTTTTGATTTCATTGATGATATAGGGCTTAATATTGTACAAAATATGTGTTATCAGTACGATGGTGCACCACCACATCGAGGAAGCGAAATAACTGCTTGGTAAAATTATAATTCCCCGAATAAATTGATAGGTCAACAAGGTCCAATGGCATGGCCATCGCGTTCTCCAGATTTAAATCCATAGGTCTTTTATTTATAGGGGTATATGAAGCAGCTTGTCTACCATGTCGAAATCAGTATCCGTCAACAGTTACGTGAAAGAATTCAAGATGCAGCTAACCAGATAAGAAATGATCCAAATCTCATCCGTCGATTGACGGAATCTTTAGTTCGCCGGCTTGCATTCGAGTCGAGGATGGAAATTTTGAACAATTTTTATAGTCTTAAGATTTGTTAATTTGGTTAATAAAGATTAACTAATGTTTAAACTTTAAACACAAATAATAATTATAGTTATAGCAACCATCATTTTTACTTATCAGGCTACTTTTATTGAAATATGAAATCATATTTTCTAAAATGCTTGTGATTTCGAAATAGAAACGAAGACTGCGCGTCTTACGATTTCCGCTCATCTGAATGTGCTGGTTTAAATGCTGGGGTTTTAGTATTCACAAAAGGTCACGGTTTGGATTACTTCAACGCAAACTGCTAAAGCTTGTCATATTTAAAATCAAAAATAGAGAAAACGAATACCATCCTCCCCTAAGTTCAATTTTTACGTATTATTTAATTGTAGGCGACAAGAGTACTGAATTCTGAAATTTAAGAGTTTTTTTGTTGCTTTTTAACAGTCGTTCTCCGTTACCCTTGAAAACAACCAGATGTCGCAACATAAAGTTACTGCTTTCAGCAAACCCTAAATAGTTAAACTACTGCATATTTAAAATCTTTTATCGTGGGAACGGCGCAGTTAATATTCTTTGACCGAAAAACCATTTTATTAAGTATTCATTAGCTTTTGAGTTGGTTAATCGATATCTACTTAAATTACCATTTTCCTGAATGAAAACATCAACTCCGATGACTGCCGAAACTGATTTCACTTCCCCTGGTGTCCGAAACGTAAGCGTAAATCGACGCGTGCAATAGAATAGCCTCCTCCGAAGTGGTTAGGTCTCCCAGAGGTCAACGAATATCAAATCACGTCAACAGAGTCATCGAATAGGCAGCCCAAAGACCTCAGAATGATGAGGTCGTTGAGGCAGCCCGACAAATAAATGGGAAACCAGTAAAAGCGTCCCGTGGAACAATCTAATATTTATATGTATTTATGCAATAACCTCGATCAAATCCTCATAAATTTTATATGTGGTGGAGAGAAGTCGTACAGTTTCGTGGAAATGCATGAAAGTTTCCCGCTGAATTATTTAATAAATGCCGTACGTGTCCTGTAACTGTGTTACTTAGTTCTTGCCTGCTGTTTTATTGTGGTTAGATTTGTAGTTCAAGGTAATTTGAACATCGTATGATTTAAAGAACAAAAGTTTCCGTCTAGATATCGGTCTAGATTTATAAATTTTATCTTGATAAAAGGTATGATAACAGATTTCTTCAATAATCATTTAATCATATTGCAATAATGTATTATTTTATGAAAATAAGCTTGGGGTGACCTAAAGACAGACTAATAGTGCGTTATATTACAAGTGAATGGAATCAGCGAATAAGCGAAGTGTTTGGCGCCTGAGATGCAGTTTTTTAACGAAAAAAAAAATAGAAAACAAGCAGTCAAGTTTTAGTTGTAAACACTGATTTCGTCATAACTCTAGTAATTTCAGTGATACAAAAACTTTTCACATAATAATTACCCTAAATCAATTTCTAAATTATTTTCGAATATTCAAGATGTAGTGAGAAGCGAATTTGTAACAGCCTGTATACAGGGTGATTCAGTCATAATGTCATTAATTTTAAGAGCAGATAGAGAAAAATGAGTATAATACGATGGCGTAATTAAAAAAAAATTAAATGCATATTTAAGCTGAAAAAATTTTTTTTTCAAATCATTATTTTACCCCCTTTTCAGGCTGTTACTAACCGGCTGACGTCAGCCGGCTACGATATGAACAAAGCGACCTAGATGCAATGTTGCCATATTTATATATTTTTCACATATAAAGACAATAAATAAACGGTTTGCTCACGTCAGCCAATAATAATTTAAAATGCTATAAATCATTTTTTTTATAATTATGCAATCAACATATTAAATTGTTATTGTTACCCAGCAAGAACCTCGAGGAGATCTGAGCATGACCCATCATAGTGATAATTTTTTAATTTGCTGTAAGCCTTCTACTAAAAATTGAAAGTAACNATACAAACAATTAATTATGTTAAAAAATACAAGCAATTATCAAAGAAAAAAATGTAAATATAAATTTGTCAAACAAAAATAGGAATGAAGTTTCTACATATATAGAGACGACAATTTCCGTTTTAAAAAAATGTATTCCATTCAATAATGGAATGTTTAAAGCTGAAATGGACTGCAAAAATTATGTTGAACATAATTTAAAGTAAAAATTACTTACATATTTACAAAAATTCCTACTAATATATTTTCTTATAATACATTCCTCAACAAAATCGTATGTATTTTGTATTGATATTATTATAAAAGCATTTGACGTATACTAATTCACATACCTGTGTCGTTTGACATTTTACATAAAAAGTAGACTTAAATGAGTCTCTCTCCCTCTCTTGTAAAATAATAATTTTTGGAATGTCTCAAAAATTAAACACCTAGACACACAGTTCCTATATGCACTGGTGCCACTGAATATTTCAGGAATTTTGAAAACCAACATTGCAATAACGCCACCGAAAACAAGTAATTCCAGTTTTTAATGGCATCGTTCTCGAAGATGAAAATGAAAGTCTATTAATATTCCTCGCGAGGTGATAATTTAGAGCTTTTCTTAAAATATGCGGGAATCGGAATTGATTGCGGAAACGTAAAATTTTCAGGCGGGATATTGGGAAAATTACGATTTGCAGAAAGTGTATTAAATTCCAAACTTGGCACCGCAGTTTGAAATATTATACGCCAGAATGTTTCACGAGAATATTTCCGATAAAATTTCCGCAAAATATTCCGGCTTGCTTCCATTACAGAAATCTTCCCGACTGGCAAATTTCCAGTTGCTTGTATTTAATAAATCATTTCGTCTAAGGGTAATGTTACTTTTTAACCACGCGTACAGGTAAGCAATTATGTCAGCAAATAATTTTGCCATACAGTCTTTTTATATAGAACATCATCAACTTTTCCCTTCCCTATAATAAAAAACAGTTTTAAGTTTTTTTAAATTTGCATCAAGCATTTTTAGTTCACCGGCATAAAGAGGAGAATTTGGAGAAATTAATGGCACAGCAAATCATTTATGTAGATTGAAAATAGCAAGGGGCCAAGATTGGACCCCTGTGGTACACCTACCCTTGCCAAAAATAGATGTGACTTATAACCACAGTAATTTACGTCCTGATTTCTTTGTTGAAGATATAAATAAATACAAAAAAATAAATAAATACATCTTTCATACAGAATAAATTCATAAAACTTTGCTATATAATTAAGAACTGCTATAGGTCAATATTTGTCACAACATTACGATCAGCTTTTTATAAATAGGAAGTAATTTTGTACCTTCAAAACGTCTTGGGAAAAAAGAATTAATTGACTTCTGAAGTACTGAATACATTCGGAAAAAAAATTATTAAAAATAAATATTATAGTGCCGAAAAAAATATTATTATAGTGAAAAATCGAACTTATACTTGCTTTCAACAATTTTTGTTACAATTCGTATCAATAATTCTTTGAAACTGAACCGATCGACTTCAAATTTGGCAGACAGTTAGAGAAATGGTCAGTGAACATTAGTGACATAGCATCGATTGACGCTTCCACCCTGTTGGGGGGTTGACATTTGTTACTTACGAATTTTATGTAGCTTTTACACTTTTATTGACAATTCTAATACAATTTGTAAATTGTCTAATGGAAATAAAGAAATTGAAAAATTTGGCACCCCT